TCAATGTGTCCCTAATTTACAGTTTGCTTCCTTAGAAACTGCTAGAATGGAACTTTGGGGTTGACATTGGACCCTCTCATCTGATTTGAACTAAAAACTCATTTCATGCCCAGCTAAAAAGCTCATTCCTTCTTGTGTGTGTGGTTTCTAAAAAAAAAAAAGTATTCTAATCTCTAGTATTCTAATTCTCCAGTTTCCATTTTGCTGTTTTGCTTGGATAAATGGACCTACCCACTCTTCACTATCTGAGTCTTTTGTGTAACCGTCATTTGGTGGGAAGGGGCCAAGTTAGTGGCCATAAGCTAAGGCTTATCCTCCCATGGGCCCAGGGCAGAGGCTTTCCTTCTGAGTTCAAACTCATACCTCTAGACCGTCCTAGGTATTTATAAGGCAGACAGATTTAGTTCTGGCCCAATTCGCCTTGTGGATGCTGATGAGAGAAGGAACAAGGGATTGGCCTTTTTTTCCCAGAGATGTCTTTCCATGCCTATCAACGTAACCTATTTGGTCCTCCTTCTCATATGGGGGGCCCTGGACAGGATCCATGACAGTCGCTCCAGCTCCGAAGGAGGAAGCTTCCTTGGAAGTGGCCCTGGAGCCCCTGGCATCAGTGTCCCTTCTCATAGTGCTTCCCCAGCATCTTTGACTGAGACAAAAGATGGTGTTACAAGGATATCAGACTCCCAGCCCTCCTGGCCTACTCCTTGCTTGGTGGCACATGGGGCCTTGATCCCTTCTGTGGCTATTGCTTTGGCCCCGGTGCTCTCTGGTCATCCAAGGCTTGTGCTTGTCCATCACTTTCCAGAAGGCTGTGCTGGCTTAAAGTCTACCCTCGGATCAGTGCTCAAACTGCTCTTTTCTCCTCCTCTTCACTCAACTCCCATGGCTCATATTAACCTTCACGGTCAAACAGCTAATCTGCTCTTCAGCTTCTAACACCTTCTAGTCTTTTATGCTCTCCTGGCCTTTTTTCTGTTCTTTGCCCACATCACTCCATCTCCCAACTTGGAGCGATTTCCCTGGCTGTCCCCCTGTGCCCAAACAGCTCTTCCTTCTCATCTGCTCCCAGCTTCCCTCAAGTCGCAGCTACAATCCTACCTTCTCCAGGAAGTTTCTCTCAGTCTTCCCTCATCCTGGGCCTTGGTGCTGAAGCTATCTCCCTTCCTCCTGTCCAGAGTTAGACTGGGAGTCTTTCACTTTCTCTGTGTCCCCAGCATTGTCCTTGTCCTCGTTGTTAGGAGAGCTAATCAAGTGAGGAATTTCCACATAATCAATAGATAAAGCTAAGAAGTGACTGCGTCCATTTGTTACCAGATAAAATTATGCCAAACTGGACTCGTCAAAACCAACAAAGGACAACTTCAGTCTCACAATCTTTCTTTTATTATTATTTATTATTTATATGTCTCATAAATTCCTCCTGCTGTGATTTAAAACCTCTCTGAGCCTTTCTCTCTCTCTCTCTCTCTCTCTCTCTCTCTCTCTCTCTCTCTCTCTCTCTCTCCCTCTGTCTCTCTCTCTTTCTCTCTCTCTCTCTGCCTCTTTCTTTAAAATATTTTATTCTAGTCTGGTCTTTTCATCAGAATTCTTGGAAGTCCTCTATCTAATTAAGAGTCCATTTCCCCCAATGGGATTATCCTCACTTTTGCTGAATTAGTTATTCTTGTGCTTTAGACTTCTGGGTTCCCAGTTCTCCACTCCTTTCTGGTTGCTAATCTGGGGTTATTCTAATTGTGACATCTTGGCCTTTAGCGTCTTTCATTCTGATTGTTTCTGGAATTTTTTCTTCTGGATCTAAGCAGAATGTTACCAGGAGTTTTCCTATTGGGGTTTCTTTTAGGAGATGAAGGGCAGCTTCTTCTATGTTTACTTTGGTCTCTGGTTCTAAGAGATTTGGGCTGTTTTCTTTCACGATTACTTGAAATATGATATTCAGGCTCTTTGTCCAAAAAAACTCCTTTTTTAACTTTTCATAATTTTATTTTATTTTTTTGCTGTGCAAGGTGAAAATTCGATGTATGCTTCACATTTTTTGTGAGCTACCTCAACATAATACAAATTTATACAGGAGCATTTACGTTTCATCTCGCCAAATACACCTTCACTATTTAAACAGCTGACTGAAAGTAATACAGTCCTCTCATGATGTAAAGGATCTTTTCACTTGGCACACATCCTAATTGTAAAGAGAGGTGAATGATCTACTGAGTTCTTCAATCTTAGATTAGTCCAAATGTTTCAGTAGTAACAACCTTGTGCTCTAAGATTTTGTTTTCATGACTTTTTTTAAGTAGGGAAAGTCCTTGCTTTGTTTAAGCAAATGCCAAATTTTGTTGAGTCATTTCAGTCATGTCTGGCTCTCTGTGACCTATTTGGGTTTTGGGTTTTGTTTTGTCAAAGACATTGGAGTGGTTTGCCATTTCCTTCTCCAGATCACTTTACAGATGAGCAAACTGAGGCAAACGGGGTTAAGTGACTTGCCCAGGGTCACACAGCTAGTAAGTGTATGAGGCCAGATTTGAACTCATGAAGATGAGTCTTCCTGACTCCAGGCCTGGTATGCTATCCACTGCACCTCCTAGAAGCCCTAATGCTAAATTACATTATCAGAGTTATAAATTGAGCCATTTTCTATAATAAGTTGATATAACCCTAAATGTAGATGTCCAACTGGGCACAGAAGTCCATGGCTGATTCTTTTAAAATCCAAACTGAAAAAAACAAGTCTCATCACAGACCGAATTAAGCCAACTTGACAAGAATCATGGAAATCATTCCAGAGTTTTAATATTTGAGACAATTCAGATGGTTTTTGCATTTGGATGAATTGTAGACATTTTCAGAAAAACTTGTGTGAATTTCTTCCAATGTTTTGGCACTTGCGTTAATCTCGTTCCACTTCCCAAACATCAGTAGGTCCCTTTGGGCTCATTTAGATGGTCTGTTATGTAAGGCAGGCTCTGAAGATGTCACTTGGATCTTTTTTGAATGAGGGTGAATCCATTCCACTGGTGATGTCATAGACACTTCATTTCCATACTCCTAATGTTGGGTCTGCTTCATTTAAATCAAGAACTCACCAGGAGCAGATTTGATGAGTGACATAAGTTTATGAGTTAAATAAACCAAAGATACATCATGATGAGGTTTGGCCATGCTGAATACTTCAGCAGGCTCTCCATGGGACATGGCAGCTGGGGATTGAGCCCATGGACTCTGGCTTCCTCTGGCCAGGTGCCCGACCCTCAGTGTGCTGCAACTGCCTCCCTAGCAGGTTACCTAAGTCAAATGGTTCATTGTCCTCCTCCTCCTGGCTGGCTCTCCAACCCCAGCATTTAGCTGTGTGCCCAACACACAGCAGGTGCTTAATAAATGTTGATAGACCGACAATTTTGCACTTCTTGACTTTCTTTTTCCATGCCTCTCCAATATATATGCTCAGTGAGGTCTTCCAGTAGCTTGGAAATCACCATATCTAACACATTTGCAATTCTAATCACCAAACTGCAGGAAACTGCTTAGAGGTCAAAGGTCCTCGGGGCATGGCCAAGTCTGGAGCCCTTATAACCGCTAGGATTCGTGTAGCACTTTGTGGTTGGAAAAGAGCTTTAAAAATATTATCTCATCCTCACAATAACTCTGGGAGGGGGGTACTGTTATCATCTCCATTTTACAGATGAAAAAACTGAGGCAGACACAGATTAAGTGACTTGCCCAGGGTCCCACATCCAGCAAAAGTTTGAGGCAGGATTTAAACTGGACTCCTGGGCTCTACGTCCAACAGTCTATCCAGTGGCTCACCTAGCTGCCAACTTTCTCTAGGTTGGTCTTTGAGTTAAGTGTGGCCCACGCACTCAACTACAAAACTCCCACATGTCAGTGGAAAGCTTCTAGTCTTTGCCACTGAGGTACAGCCACCTGGCCCCAGCCGCTTTCTCCATCAGTCTCTGGAAGGCAGCAGGGGCCCCTGCAATACCTTGGTGCACACACTTGATCTGGCCACTTAAAAACATCTCATTTTCCCTTGGGTGGGGATCTGGCAGAAGCCCACCCGCAGGTCCATTCAGAGAAGCCGTGGCAGCCTAAACTCAATCCAGGACACCTCCAGCTCTTGTGGGGTGCGCTGAGGGCAGGCTCTGCTCCCATGTTTCTGCCCTTCTTCAGTACCACTCCTCTCGCTGCTGAGCCCTGTGGTGCTGTCACTAGGCAGTAGTGTTCTGAGCTAGCTGCTGAAGGCGCCATCTGAGAAAGGGGAAGATTGTCTCCAGAGCTCAGGCATCCCCCAAGAGCACACTTGTCCTATGGCTCTGCTTCTGCCTCAAACACACCTTCCAATTGTGTCTCCTTGACTTCACTTGGGGTTTTCTTGACAACAATACTGCAGTAGTTTGTTATTCCCTTCTCCAGTTCATTCTACAGATGAGGAAACTGAGGCAAACAGGGTGAAGTGACTTGCTCACGCTCACACAGTTAGTAAGCATCTGAGGCCAGATTTGAACTCAGGAAGATGAATCTTCCTGACTCCAGGCCCAGAGCTCTACCCACTGTGCCACCTATTTGCTGAGTCGGGGGCAGCTAGGAAATTCTTAAAGACAATTTTCTCTCTCTGCCCCTCAGAGAATAAATGGGAAGAGCTAATGTCCTTGTGAGGTTCACTGACACACTGGACTCTCTCCCTCATGCCTCTCTGCTCAGGCCATGGGGACGATCAAGTACTCAAGGTGGGATCCAGCTTGTTGGTGGCAGGAGTCTGCCAATACTTCCAACAGACTGGAAGGGGCTCCCACAAAAGCCTACACTGCTGAGACATGGGGAGTCTGGACATGGCAGAGCCACGGGCTGAAGAGGCACACCTAAAGCTTTGGTGACACCCACAGTGTCTTCAGGAAATCTCCGAGTCCCCCACAGCATACCTCAAGGATGTAAAGTTTTTGTCTTTTAGCTCTCCAAGGCCAAATCCTTCAAGAGGCTGACAAGTATTTTCTTCAAATGTCCTTCAGGATGTGACCAGGATGTGATGGCCACCTGTACTCCATCCACTGTCCTGACATCAATCTAGGCCTCACGGTCAGTCTTCATATCATCTCCATAATGGGTCCTAGGAGTCCCCAAGGGGATTGCTGAGGAGTCTGCCCCGTGCTTGTGGGGCTGGGGCAACCTCCTTCATGGCTGCATCTGCTTTTCCTGATGCTGGCTACATGAATAGCAGCCAACAGTAGCTAGTACACACTCTGAGCCAGGCTTTTCATTCATGCTAGCTTCTGGGCCATCGTGAGGGCTACGTTGTTTCCAGGAAAGCACCTGGCTCGCATTTCACCACTGTTGCCATAGTTGTAACTGAAGGAGGGTCCGCCTTTCTTTTCCCTAACTGCCTGCATTTCTGTGTTGGTCTATCATGGTCTCCACTCACTTGCCTTGTTTGTTTTGCAGGTGGAACAGCATTGAGCCTGGCTCCACTTCTCGCCAGATTGTCTGGGAGTTTTATCCAATGCCTGCACCTTTGAGGAAGCTCCCCCGCTTAGTTTCCTTGGACCAGCATGGAAAAAGTCCTCTTCATGGCTGGAATGGAGTCCCTCTTGTTAGGGCTCAAATGATTCCCTGGGATCTCTCAAGTCTGGGTCATGCCAGTGCAGTGACAACCTCAGTTCTATAATATTCCCTGGGGATAGCCTCCTGTTCAGCCCTGCCCCCCACCTGGAGCCCACTGGCTCTTTGGGTCATTCTGTCTGCACACATCTGTCTAGGCTGTGTCTATCTTGACACTTAACTGGCTAAGTGACTGTCTGCCTGGGCCAGGAATCCAGATGGCAGGTCCCCTTTATATGCTGTGATAGCAACCAACTAAGGACTGCCACCTTGATCATTTGACCAGTGTCATAAAAAGACTCAAGTCTTTTTGTGTAGTCCATATTTGTAGGAGAGTCTAGAGTTTCTTCTCCAAGGCCTCCATGGTTTTCCATCAAATAATTCATCTCGTTCCTGTCAAGAGCTGGCCAGTTCTGTAGAAGCTCAGCTGCACACCCAGGCATGAGGAGGAGGGTCACAGAGTCTGAAGTTCCTGTCTTGGGCTCATCTCTGCTCTCTGCAGGACAGTTTCTCTCTCTCTCTCTCTCTCTCTCTCTCTCTCTCTCTCTCTCTCTCTCTCTCTCTCTCTCCCTTCCTTCCTTCCTTCCTTTCTCTCTCTCTCTCTTTCTCTCTCTCTCTTTCTTTCTTTCTTTCTTTCTTTTCTTTCTTTCTTTCTTTCTTTCTTTCTTTCTTTCTTTCTGCCTCGTGGGAGGCAAGACTTCTCTGTGCAGCCTAGGGGACCTAGTTTTCCCTTGACATGGAAGTGGTGTTCCTCCAAAGGATGCAGGGACACCAGCCCAGGTGACTGCTTCCTTTCTGCCATGGAGATCCCCGCTCAGTCCTACCTGGGCTCTCTTCCTGAGGCAGTGGACTGAGCTCTGGTCAGTCTTACTGTCCAGCTACCCCATCCTGCCCCTACCACTCCCTCCTAGTACCGTGTTTTCCATAATTCCTTCCTCACTGAAAACTTTATTTTCTTGACCAAATCTTCTTCCTCAAGATGAGATGTAATGATTAATTACCAGGTATCACTTACCACTGTCATTTACCTAGTCTGCTATTTTTAAATGACCAGGAAGATTGGGTGAATCAGAGAACTCACTGAGTGGCCCCCCCCACCCCCTGCCACCTTGTAAATTCCTAGCTCCAGAACCATTTTTCCCCCTGGCCTCATAGTATCCAAATTTTAATTTGTTAGGGTTGGCCCCTAAAATCAAGAAACCTTCCCCCCACCCCTGCCATTAACTTTTAATGTAAAAACATTACAATACCTTCCAAGGAATTTGTGCCTCATCAGGTCAACAGATTGATCTAGAAAGTCTGTACAATTGACAAACCCATAATAGAGAAATAAATTGGACACCCAACATTATAAAGCAATTCATATGAAAGGCAAGCCCTATTACAACTGATAGGGAAAAAGTATCACCAAGGCAAGTACACAAAGCAGTCACAATCATTAACAAGGCAGTTACCTAAGTTCTCATTACATTAGCATCTCTAATTAACAGACATCCATATGCAAATGCAACATAGAGGTGGAGTAGATTGGTCCAGTAATAACAGACACCCCAAGAAAGAAAACCCCCTAAACAATCCAAAATAGGAGACCCAAAAGCGGGTACGACATTCACAAAATGTAAAAGCCGGAATAATGACTTCACTGAGAGGGAAGAAAAGAGCACAAATGGAACAGAAGTAATTCAGAGCCACAAAAGCATATATCTAAAACACTTAAAAAATGAACAAATTTAATTTTTAAAAATTCAATGAACAAAAGTTCCCAAAAGAAATAAAATGCTGAGCCCTGGGGATCCAGAGAAAGGCAAAAGATAGTCTCTGACCTCAGGGTGCTTACATTCTAATGTGGGAGATAGCACCCAAAAGGAAGCAGAAAAGGGAGGAGGGGGAAAGGGAAGGTAGGAGTCAGGGCAGGATGGAGAGGCCCAGAGGAGTGTAGCCAGCTGGGAAACGAAGAGAAGAGTGGGGGGAAAAATGCAGGAAATTCTACTTTAAATAAAGCAAGAAGAAAAGAATTAAGTTATCTAAACTTCCAAAGCAAAGACAGAAACAAAAGTTCCAGGGGAAAAAAACCCCCAAAAACACAAACCTAGAGATGAAGCTCTCACTTCCTTTCTGAATATTGGTTTGAGGCAGGAAGAAGAGAGTAAAGCTGAAAAGAAGCCAGGGCGCTGTCCCTTGGCCTCCACCTTTGGAAGGTGGGTATTGCCTGGAGCTCCTTTCTCTTCTTCCCGCCTTGACTCCACCTGAGGTGCTTTATCGGCATGCACTGGGGAGGCAGGGATGAGTAAGTGAGGCCAGGGGACCCAGCCCTACCCCACCAGAAAGATGGCTCTAGGGCTCATTTCAGCTCCTGGCAAAAGGGATCACAAATCAGCCTCTTGTGAAGGCTAGCTGAAATCCACATTCCAAAGCCCTAACCCTTTAGCTGGCAAAATAAATTTAAAACACTTAAAGGGAAACTAGAAAGGTTACTTAGTGGAACAAAATAATTTAGAATCAGTTGCTTTTCTGCCTTAGACACTTAGTGGGTGGGCTCACACTCAGCCCCTGCCCTCAAGAAGATCATAATCTAATGGGGGAAAACAGCATGCAAACGACTGTGAGAAGAAGAGGTGGGAAGGGGACACTGTCACTGGAGTCTCCTAAGTGATGTCAGCGGTAACAGTCCTCTGCTTGTGCCCTATGGTGTCATTAGTCCTCTTCAAAAATGAAGGACAAACAATGCCTCTTAGCCCAGCCTCAGTTTGCCTTCAATTTCTCAGCCACCATATTGTTCTGCTGAGCGAATCATTGACCAAAACCCTGAGACCTTTTTTTTTTAAAGTTGTATTATTTTGGTGAGGCCGTTGGGGTTAAGTGACTTGCCCAGCTGAGACCTGTTTTAGATGAAATGCTGCCTAGCCATGCGGCCTTCTTCTCGGGCCTGGAAAGTTGACGTTTTGATCCTGAGTACAGGACTTTACACGTATCCCTGTGGAGTTACATCTTAGCTCAACACTAAGCGAGAATGCTTTGGATTCTGTCTCTGTCATTTAGTACATGAGCTACCTCCTTTGTCTTTGTGTCATCTGCAGAATTCATCGCGGATCATTGGAAATCTTAAGTGGTCACGGCAGCGTTCAGCTCTTTTGCTTGGAGTTAGGGCGAGAGTGCAAGGTGAAGACAAAATTTGGCTGAGAGCTAAGTGGCAAAGATCTCAGCATTCATCAGGCATCATCCACAGGGCAGCCCTTAGACGGAGAACAGGCTGGTCTCCTAACCCCCCTACCCCACCCCCACTCTTCAGCTATTGCCAATGACAATATTGAGTGAAATCAAGCCCTAGAGAGGTTCGGTTGCCCAATGCCCTAAGAACAGGTTCCTCCCGAACCCTTGCAGAACAGGTGGTGGGAACAGCTGCTATAGATTTAAAGGGGACTAGCTCAGGTCTTGAAAGCAAGGTTTCTTCCACTTTATGGGGGTGGGGGATGGGATGCTAAGAGGGGAAAGGGCCATGGCCACCAGGGAAAAAAGCAGTCTGAAGCACGCTTTGACTCCAGGTCTCCTGACTCTAGGAATGCTAGCACTCCTTTCCCCCAGCTCAGATGTGGTTATGATTCTGCATGACACCCCAGGGCCTAGAGAGCCCAGCTTTGGCCACTAAGAAGATCTCACCAGTTCGTAAGATTTCCCCTCCTCGTCCGAGTTGTCCTGCACCTAGGTGTAGGTAAGCCTGACAACCCAGGCTACCAGGTCCCTCCAGTCTGTTTGTTTGGTTTCTTTTTTTCAGTTACGCTCCAGACCCCCTTTCACTTCAGGGAGACAGTTGCCATGGCAACTGAAGAACAGGCTGTGAGGAGTTTTGAAACAGACAAATGGGGAAGCCTGCTTCTTGGTTGTGGGCAGAGATGGGATCCCCCTGCCTAAGGGGAGACACCTTGAGACCTCTGGCTGGCAGGGATGCAGGGTGGTCAGTCATGGCAAGGAGAAGCCAGCCTCCATCCCATGTGTCTTGGGGCTTCAAAGACAATTCTGAAAAAGGCAAAGAGTGTTGTGACCTCAAGTTCAATGCTGCACTTCATTTTCTCACTTAATGTAAACTGTCCCATTGCCCTCCAGAAGGCCATCCTTCTCAGGGCCTGAGCGGAGCTGAAAGACTGTCCGCATTGGTCTGAACAGCTGAGGAAAGCATCCTCGATCTTCTGGCTCCTCGCTCTGCTTGTTGCTTAATGGAAAGGTATGTGGATGGGGCAGGGAGAGAGGGAAAGGCCCGCTAAAGTTTAAATAGGAGGACCAAGAGGAATGCAGCCTGATCCTCAAGACATTTGGAGGGGAAGCCATTGTGAATGTAAAACTTCCCCAAACACAGGAACTTGTCAAATACAATTTTTAAAAATATGACTTTAAAAGACCCCTGTATAACCCCAGTTAGGAAGGAAGAAAGAAACCCCATCCCAGCTCAGGTCCTCAAGAGACTGGCTCTCAACCTTGACCTGGAATCCCACTCATCATGGGCTGCTGGGATCCTAGCTCCAGACCTGTGACTTGCGGGCCCTCCAGCTCTCCAGGCTGGCCCACAGTAGCACAGGTCTCCTAGGGAAAGTCAGGCAAGACAATACTGCAAAGCTGGCTTCTATAGCTACCTTTCCCATGAGTAGAGCTCTATGGATCTGGATAGCAGCAGAAAAGCCCCCAGTGTGGCCTGCAAGTGGACTGACCAGTCATGAGGAATAAAGGCATTGCTGGGATATTTCCTCTGCAGTCACATTTGCAAAAATCCCATTTTTTCCTTAACTCATCCATTGCCTAGCCTGGCACCAGACCCCACACAGACAGCTCCTCCTTCCCAAATTAGCCTGCTGTCATAGTGCCCACCATGTGTCCTGCCTGCCCTGCCAAGGGGTGTGTGTGCATGTGTGTATGCGCACACGCATGCGCGTGTAGGTGAAGGATTCAGAAAAGTCAAGCAGCATCTGTGCCCCAAGAGGGAGTGAACTGGAGTCAGTGGCAGGAGAGAGTGGCCATACACTGGGAAAAGATTTGGCTTTTCAGCCTGCTTCCTCCCACGTCACCTAAACTCACTGGTACAGAGAATAGCAGTCACAGGAAGCCCCACCCCCAACTTTAAAAGAATCCAGTCTAAAAAGCCCCGTGTTTCTGCGCCTCTACTTGTGATCAGAGACCCAGGTGGGGAAACTCTGAAATGCTGTGCCAGCCCCCAGGCCATTGGTCCCTCCGGGATGGAAGCCCCCCTGCTTTCTGCATTGTCTGTGAGACAGAACCCAGCCCAGAGAGTGAGCAGCCACACAGCTCTTCAGGCAGTGACAAGCTTCTGTCTCCCTGAAATACTCAGGGCACACCTACAG